AAAATCTTCCATAAAGTCGATGGACAAAGCTGCAATTGCTGTGCTCGGTGACGAATCAATTCGTTCGGGTCCTCTTAAACACTTTGCTCTATAGCGGCAATTATTTCTTCAGTGCGCACTGTTCGACGTCTCTGTGGATGCGTATTATCACATAGAGTAAACGTAGACCGAAAACGATCCATGGTTAAACGAATTAATTTCTCTGATGGACGATAATGTCGACTATAAAATGGACGGAGTTTACTTTCGAAATAAATTTGCACGATTTGCAAGCATTGTTCTTTTGTCAACCTGCTCTTGATGAAATGGCAAACCAAACTAAATATTAATCACTTGACAGCTGACAAAATGGCCGCCAGTTAAAAAAGTGATGCCAACTTAAAGTTCTATACCTCAACACCCTCTTTGTCACTAGGGACTCACATACCTAAAAGTGTAATAATTTATTCGACTGTGATTGAAGAAAGACTATTTTTATGTAATAAAAAAGATTATTAATTTATTTATTCTCCTTCTCTCTTGTTTACATAGCTTTGTTCTTTCGCACAAAACTTCCCGAATCATGCAATTTTCCAATCAGCTGTTTTTCCGTTAACCCATAAACTCTAGGGTTCACATGACATTTTACAGTTCAATCCTTATAAAAAGCGCTCCAATTATTATGAGCAGTTTCTTTAGTTTTTATTTCCTTGCATTGTGATTAAAGGAATTCTAAGTTTCTGGAAGAAGAAAGATTAAAAATTTTGTTAAGTGTCCTTCTTTCGTGTTTATAAAACTGAGTTCTTTATCACAAAACTTGCCAAGTCTGGTAAATTTTCAATCAGCTGTCTTAACATCAAGCCATACGTTAGGGCTCGTATGGAAAAATATGACACTTAGAAGTGCAATCCTTATAAAAACCGCTCCAATCCAGATAAGCAGTTACTTTTTACTTTGATTTCCGTTTCCACTTTTTCTCCTCAAAAATACGCCATATTAAAGCCTTTATTGAACTCTAACAAATGTTGCCAACTATTTTTTTTTTCTTTTTTTGTTATTGCAACTTTTCTCCTAACTGGCTTTTGGCGAGTTCTAAGTGTTTTGCAGTTAACGCATTAGCAAAACCATTTGGTACTTCATTTGTTATTGGTATTTAATGGCAATTAAGTAACATTTATCAAACTAAATTGAACTGCTGATGCCTGCGCATACTCGCAGCACATTCAGCATGTAGCACATTACAAATGTGAAAAGAGTTTTTATAAATTTCATGATTTTATTTTGCACAATGAAGTAATGAAGTTAGCGATAAACTTCTAAATGACTGACAGATAGTATTTTCAGGGATAACCACATAACAAGAAAAACATTAATGTACAAAAAGTGGTAAGTGTTGTATGTCGGGCAAAAAAACGGAATCATGTCGGAGTGCATGGGGATGAAAATGATTCCCAGTCAGACAAATGGAAACGTTTTTGTCTGAGTCTAATTGCAATATGAAACTAATTGCTATTCGAAGAGTCTTTTTTTTTCCGGAACAAAAGTCATTTGGGAGTAGTAGTTTTGGTGGTTTCTTCTCAGTTTTCCAAATTAAAAAGCTTATTCAATAAATTTCCAAACTTGCATCTAAAACCGAAAACGTTTGAAAATAAATATTTTTTTCATTTTCTAATTTTTAAACTAAATTTCCACTTCTCTATAATTTCGGCCAGAGAGTTTTACGCAATGTTCACTGTGTGTTGTTAATTGTCGTGCTGGAGTTTCAATAAATTGTACAAAAGGGAATTCATAAAACGTTGTAAGAAATAAAAACGGAAATTCAGTTGCTTTCTGTTAAACCCCGGAGGTTTACATTGAACATACTTACAAAGAATTGCAGAAAAAAGAGAGGCAAAATATAAATCGTTACAATTAAAGATAATTAATTAAAATCAATTGATGTGCAATTATTTGCCATTCAACATCGGTAAAGATGTTAATTCTTAATAAATAAAATAAATAAAACGTGTTTTGAAAAAAAAAAAATAAAAAAACAGACAACTTTCATTGGATTGCAATCGTTCTTTTGAAAATTCTGACAAAGAGCCCTGAAGTGTGTAAATATCGGCCTAATTCTGGTTGCAATGCCAAAAACAATTAAAATAGCCAATATTTTTTAATGATTTCGTATAGATTTGCATAAATTGACACACGTCTTCATTAAAGAGTCACTGTTAAAATATAGCCAAAAGAGCTACCCAATATAACCATGTGTCACTAAGGGCAAGCCACGTGTAAATCATTTAACAAAAGAAATGCCACACTTCAAAGTTAAAGCATCACCTGCTTGAAGAAAATTAAAATGGTAATTTTATTTAAATTATTTTGTTGCAAATTCAGTTTTACATGTCTCAATTATTTATAAAGTGCTCCCTAAAATAATTGCTGTTTATAAAACATGAAATAAGATGATTATCCATACTCCCCTTTAATAAGGAGTCCCAAAAATGTTAAACATATGTTTACCTCCATTTGCAATGCCAAGAACAATTAAAATGGATAATATTTTTAGTGATTTTGTGCAGATTAATATTAGTCGCCACACGTCTTCATAAAAGGCTTACCCTTAAAATATAACCAAAAGAGCCACCACAAATAACCAGGTGTCACTATGGACAAGCCACATCAAATAATAGATGATTAAATAACAAGAAATGTCTCACGCTTGTACTAAAGAATCACCCGGTTAAAAGTAGCGGAGAGGTAATTTTGTTAAAATTTTTTGTTGCCTACTTTATACATTTTGCAATAAAAAGCTCTAAAATGAGAAAACATGTGATTGCCTCCAGTTGCAATGCCAAAAACAATTGAAATTGATAACATTTTTAGTATTTCCTATAAATTGTCATACGTCTTCATTGAAGGGTTACCATTAAAGCATTGCTAAAAAAGCTACCTAATATAAATACGTGACACTATATCACCAAGGGCATGAAAATCATTAAATAACAAGCATTGTCACACGTCTGTATTAAAGAATTACCCAGTTGAAAGCAGCAAAAAATGGTATTTTGATGAAATTTTTCGTTGCGAATGCAACTTCACATGCCCAAATTAACTGATGATATAAAATAATTGTTTATTTGCAATATATTACAAATATTTATTACAAAATTCAAAGTAGAAGTTTAAGTCTCACGCTTCACTTAAGCCTTATTTACACCGAACATATTTCCGTAAAACGAGTTAATTAGATACTGAATTCCTTTTATTGTACATTAAATGATTACCAATCTTTGAAATTGTTTTGATTTTATATCCTCAAATGACCCCCTAATCTTCATACACGCTGCAGAGCTTAGCGAGCTAAGGAATTTCAATAAGACTTATCCATTCTTATTAATTTTTTTTAAAAGCGAGTGGTGAGAGTTATAACTTAAAAAGCAATGAAGGGATAAGCCAACAATTTTTAAGAAGCTTAACGCAACGAAAAGGTAAAAGAGTTTAAATCTTAGCCAAATTTGCCACCTCCAAAATTTATTATCTGCCTATCCCCATAAAAAATCGCTCCAGGTTGTCCTTGAAACCATCTAACCTTTCTCGCAAGTAATTTATTGCCTCATATTTTCTTTCCTCTTTTTTTTTTGCTTCTTATCTTTTTAGCATAAGAAAGATTGATGGAAAGTAATTAAAACTGATCATAAATCAGGTGATTTTAAATATGACCAAGCCCAACAAGAACAACAACATCGATGAAAAAGGGCAATTTACGTAATGCTCTCAAGAGTTTTTGACCTTTTTTCGTCTTTGGGCTTGGGTTTGGGTTGGTGCAAAAGCAATAAGGTTTAATTTTATTTTTTGTCTAACAGCAAAAGTTTTACACTTTTCCGTGAACAATGCAAATTAATTGCCTGCTGTCTTAGCACTTTTTTTACGCCAAGTCCTTTAAATTTCCATTCATTGTGCCATGGAGTGAGGTGGCGGTGGGTGAGAATTTGAAATCGGAACAAGGAACTCGTTTTGTATCTCTGTTCTAAGATTTAAAAGAGATTTAACATTTGAATTTATAAGACTAACGAGTTTCCGTTTTAAGATTACATTTTGTTTTTTGCTTGCACAGGGGAGGTTCAGACTGTGAGAATTATTTGAACATATTTTGTGTCACTTGAGGGGGAAAAAACGATTTAAAAACGTTTATACTTTTAAAGAATAGAGAGGGAAGGGTGCAGGAAGTGAGTAAATTAATTAAGCGTTTCCACTGGAGCATTAGTAATTAAATTTGCAGCAGAGGTGGGAGTAATTAATACTACTTTTAATTTAACGCCATAATAAAAGGGTGGCAACTATTTATTTGTTTTCAAGCAATTGTTTCTGTTCTTTTTCTCAATAACTCACATTTCTTTTAGGTAAATATTGTCAACCATTTAATTGTGACAACTGTAACAAATCAGCTGATCAGCCATTAAGTAAAGTTATTCCTCACACTCTTCCCAAATTTCTTAATTTCCCTCAAAACATAATTTTTAATAATTTGCCAGAATTGTTATTCCGAACATAACCACAATATGTTGCCATTTCTTTCCTTTTTTGTTTTAAACAAGGGCAATAGCACAACCCTTAGATTTGCCCCAACTCCCAACCCTCCCCGGGTAAATGCAAATGCCAACCAAGTTGGCCACGAAATGTGTTATTTTCCATTTTGTTTTGAAATTACACTCTAAACTATTTTTGCTGAAAATCACAATGATAATGATATGCAACAAGATGCCGCACAACTGTGCGTGATTTTCAACAGCTTTGTTGTTGTATGCTTTTACACAAAAAAGTGTGTAAAACCTACACATTTTGTTTTACGATTTTAGACATTTTATCTTGATTTTACAAACTTCTGTGCGCAATTTTCAGTTTAATTAGGCAACTTCATGCGTATTTTCTAGATGCATAAATATTAATAAACAAAAAACAAGTGAATTTAAGGTGAAAAATATTTTATTTAAAATATTAATTGACAAATATACATATTAAATTTAATTAAGAAATTAAAAATTACACTTTGGAATGCATTAAATTAATACATATAACTTAGAACCATGTACATGGCTTTGACAATATAATATAGATTCTGCGTAAGGCTGTTAAAAAAAAAACTGGTTAAAAATAATTAGGAAGTAAATTGTAGATGTCACTTAAATATTAAATATATAATAGTAAATATGCTTACTTAATGCAATCTAATTTTTGCATAAGGCTGACTATTCTTTTTAAATTATTAATGTTCTTTTTTTGGCCTCTACATTGCGAAGGATAAAATTTAAAAAAATATCGCATAAAAAATTCGCATGTTTGCGAAATATTTTTTGGGTATTCTATATTGAATATATAATAGTAGCACAATATCTGCAATATTAACGTTATAATGTCGCTATTGGGTTCAATACTTGTCAATTCCCCTTCAAACCAGACATATGCAATAGATTGTTTCTCGTCGTCTGTAGGGGATGTACCTTGAAAATTTGAAATTAATTTCAGAACTTATTAATTATACAGCATTGACTTACAAATTATGGAAGCCCATGGAGTGACCGTTTCGTTTGCATCTCGAATTGTATCAATTGTAGTACCGAACTAAAATAAAAATAATCATCATTAGTATTACATTAGCGATTAATTTGGAATATTATGTACCTTAAATTCTTTAAAAAGCAATGCACCTATTTCATTAAAATAACCACATATTGCCTTTATAATAATATTGTCATCTTCTTCTGTATGTTCAATCCTAAAAAAATTTCGAAACTTGCTTCGGGATTTTTCAAAATTAGACTTGAATGTTCGGATATCTAAATCCATTAACTTTTCAAAGTGGCCAAATAAACATTCCTTGTTGAATATCATTGGCCAGTTCTGCAAAATGTCTCGCACAGTGGGTATATTTTGTGCATCATTAAAATATGCACGTTGCGTGGCAAAACAGTCGGACATTAATGATTTTGCGGACTCCAACTCTGATTTTAGTAATTTTTTTTTGTGGTGCATTGAAATTAAAATTTGTTTTTTATAGTCCACATCTTTATAGTTTTCTCTAGAAATATCTGGTTGCCAATGTGCACAGCTCCTAGATAGTGCACTTAAACGTTTTCTTTTAGTTAGCGGTATGCCCATCACATTAATCTTCTTTTTTGAGCTATAATTCAAAAAATTGTTTCGGTTTCTCATGGTTGTAACGAGTGATATTGGAGTGTATGACATAACCCGTCCTTCTCCATCTTTTTCAACAAATGATTCTGGGTATTTCGTGGCAGCCATATGCGCAACATTCCTGTAGACATTCATCGGAATAAAATTTGTTTTTCTACGTAATTCATCGACAATTACATTGCAAAATGAATTTATTAGCTTTCCAATTTTTTCCTTATTATTAAGCTGTGACAACACTTCTGGAGACATCCTGTTCCAAGGTATTTGAAAACCTTGAAAGCTATCGCAAATTGGATTATTCTTGGTCACTAAAGTGTTGAGTTCATCCGTTGCACTACCTGATGCCATTAACTCTTCATCAGATGTTATATTTATGGTGTCTGTGAACTCAGTTAATGGTACTTCAACTAAATGTTGGCCTACATCTGATGATAGAGCTATGTAGAAGCTTTCACCGCTTATTTCTTGGGATGACGTTGGGATGTTTACTATAGATTGTGAATTTTCTGTTGTGATGTCATTGTTTGGTTTGGTCTGCTCAATATTTTCTATTGGAATCGGCAAAATATTGTTGGGGGTCCACATTTCCTCGAATTTTAAAATCATTAAAATTTGTTTGTCCTCTAAAATACATTGCAAGGTCTCGTCATCATCTATTTCAGTTCCGTCGCTTTCCAAAACAAATCTGCTTCCATCAAGAGAGTACTCTTTTGCTGAAAATAAATAATAATAATGCAATTGTGTTAAAAGAAAGACTACAGTGAAACAATTTTTTACCTTTTTTTATAACGAGATCGATTGAACCTTCGCACATGAATGCCTTTTTCTTTGATCTATCGGCATTCCAAATCTTACATAAAAACTTCGCCATGTTATACTTATTTTATATGAATACTAAAGTACTACCTTAAATCTAAATATTGGAATAAAAAACCTTATTTTTAAAATAAATCTTCAAATGTTTGAAATGGAGCATAGTAATATTTTTGGTCTTTTTGGAAAAGTTTTATGGGTTGATGAAATACAAATTCTTTTCTTTTGATAATAGAAAATTCTTTTTCACGAATTTTTTCAAATGATTCATACAAATTTATTATGCAGTTGTACCACATTTTCTTAATTTCTCCATAACATATAAAGTCAGTGTATTCTTTGTTTACAAATATTGTGTTTACAATAAGAACATTTATGTTATTTTGCGAATCTACCGAGCATAGTATGACATCTTTTTCTTTATATAAAGTTCCAAGAAATTCAATTTTTTTTGTTGCATATATATACTCGCCCGGTATATTTATATTAAACATTCCATTTTCTGAATTAACAACATTTTTACATATGATATCGGTTTTTATACGGTTACCATGAAGACTTGCTTGAAAACATTGATGTTTCTTGGCCATTGTCAAAGTTATATTTTTAAAGTTTCTACATGACTTTGCTATTTGTTTAAAATATTGGTGCTTGTGCTCAAAATGCAGTGTCGAAAGATTTTTTAAAGGGCCAAATTGTTTAATAAGGTCTGGATAATGTTTTAAAAAATGATGCTTTGGTCTCAGATTATTGTTTGGGATACATTCTTTTCTAAAATCAAAGTAAATGTGAATAAAATGATTTAGTAATTCTATTTGACTTTCTGTAATTTTTTCTGCACAAATTAAACGACACATATTTATCAAAGCTGAGAGAAAAAGATACATTGGATCCTCAAAATTTGTGACAACTGACATCAACGCAATGGGCATCAAAAACAACATATGTCTAATTTCGTCTGCTTTCCCTGAAATTTTTTTCATTTTTATATTTATTTGCGGAAATGATAAACGTAGGGAGAATGTTTTTTGAATAGACTGTAAAAATGCGTTTAGATAGTCAAAAGAAAAGTTGAAAGTATGACTCAATGATTTTAAAATTACCATTAATTCGAATGGAACAATTCCCTCAAACAAGTCATGGGCTATGCATGGCGGCAATCCTGGATTACAAACGTGGAAGTATTTTAGACTATTAAAACATGAATTTTTTACTACACCTTTTTTGAAATCCTGGGATAAAATGAGTTCATTGTAGTTATTAATGTTTCTAAGAGTGCTTACACCAACATTCTGTTCATATAAGGATTTCCGCTCAAAAAAACAATAACGGCAAACATACTGTGAGAAACTAAAGCTTTCATTAAAACCGCCAATTTGATGTGATCCAAGATTATCACCAATAACATAAACAACTGTCCCAAACAATATTTTTTCTTTTCCTATTTGTTTATCATAAATTGTCAATCCTGCGGTCTCTAACTTTTTTAGATCAGTTAATAGTGGTTGCAGAACAATATCGAAACCAAATGTTTTTATATAACGTTCTTTACACAGCAACAGTAACTGTATATTTTTAACAATAGATCTATATTTGATATCAATATTCCCTAACATGAAGTAAAAACCAATTACTTTATGTTTCTTCTTTGCTGAGCCTAACGGATTGCACACTTCGAAAGCATCTTGGAATATAAGAAGCTCAATTCGCTTCTCACCTGAATTAAAGAATTTTTGGTTTTTATAAACCAGACCATCATTATAATCTAAATATGAATTAAAATCCGATTTTTTCTCTTCAGAAAAAAAATTTAAGTACTCTTGATCACTAAATAATGCATTTAAAGTTTCTAATAATGGCACATAGTGATATACACAGTCCTGGTGACAATTATCAACACCTAGAAAAATTTCTTGTGGTCCAATAAAATGAGGGTTTTCTGAAAAGAAGTTTTGTATTTTTTGTTTTGAAGAAATGTTTTGTAGGTCCTTTAATACACTTGAATCTTTTAAAAAATTAACTATTTCATTTTCTTTATCAGACACGTTACAGTTGCCAATTATGTCTCTTATTTTCCGAATATTCAAATCAATATTTTGTTTTAATAAGCTTATCAATTCCGTAAATAGAAAATGCAAGCAGTCTTCTGAGACATTAAATTTACATTTTAATTGTGTTAAAATATTTGTTATTGAATTTTCTTCCAAATATGGACTGATGTCAGTAGTTGAAGTAAAACTTAAAGAAGTGCCATCAACTTTATCTGAATTGGTTACTTCAGAATAATTGGCAGTCTGTTTCATTGGTAAGTTTTGTTCAAAATCTGAATGTTTCCGAAAGAAATGGGATCGAAACGTACTTTGAGAAGCAAACGTTTTTTTGCATGGGCGTAGTGGACACTTCACCTTTTTGTTATTGGGGAAATGTTGTAAGGTATGCAAATATATCTCTAAAATTCGTACCAATATAATTACATGCACTTATTGAACAAATATATGTGCCATCTGAATGAGCACTTGCAATTTTATTATGAACTTTATGATAACGCATATAATGCGATTTATATGAGTTATAATTATTGTACTCTTTTATACATGTTGGGAACAAGCACTTAAATTTACAATTTTTTTTATTTTTATGGCCGTATAGATGACAATTATATTTATCAATGTTAACAAGCACTTTCTCACAAATGTTACATACATACATTTTTATTTATATTTTCTCGAAAAATACAACTTTTGTGTCACTAAAAAAAAAAATTGTCCACTTACACCAAAGAACAGCAAGCAACTAAGCTTGGCCACGTGTTTCTGTTTTCTTCTTCTTGACAACTACGGAGTTTTTGTTGTGCGTGAATGACTTTGCTACACTTTGTGTTTAATTTTAAACACATTCAGTGGCAATTCCAGTTTTCACTACATTATATGTTTAAAATTAAACATTTCGAACTGCAATTCTTGTTTTCACTACATTTAATGTTTAAATTTAAACATTTCTTCAAATTACACACTATTTTGCTAAAAATTACGCACCTTCCAAAAAATCAACAAAAAATCACAATGATTTTCATAGTACTTTTAAACAAATAATTTAGAGTGTATATTTACCATATGACATTTAAATGTCATACGCAATTTCTTTTTCTGGTTTATCAAAGTTCAGTTAAACAATTTTTCTCGCATTTCTCTGAAAGAGATTTCCTTGTGAACATGTGTAGCTAGCATAAAGGTTTCAATTACACATACTAGGCAATAGATGAGATGAGTGTGTGTGTGTATGAGTGTTTGTTGAAAACCACAAAATCCATTATAAACAGCTGTGATGCCTTCTTTCGGAAGATTTGTACCACTTGTGATTCTAATGTATGTATGTGTGTGTGTGATTTTATGTGCGCATAGGATGTGTTTTATTACAATTTACACCTGAGTTTATCTTATTTACATTTTCAATGAATTAAAAATCTTACAAAGTTCAAGATTTGTTGTACAGTACAAACGGAGAATCCTGGGAGTAAATTATATCACTTTCATATTATTAATAAATTAATAGGTTTTTATAAATCTTTGGAAATTTTGACATGTATTTAAGATTGCTTAAAGTCAGAGAAACTAAATTCGGAAATATACTCTGAAATATATGTTTGCGAAATAGGCATTTTGTCACACGTTTTTATGTAAGGAATGACAGAATGAAAAGTAGAACCTAAAATAAAGTCGTCCACAAAAATGCTAAGATATTCGTACAAAATGCTATTTCGGCATGTGAACCTCCTTAAGTCTATCAATTTTACTGTTCCCAACCGAAAACAAAAATATTGCTTTATAATATTCTGAAGAAATTTGCCATACGTCTTAATTAAAGAATGAACTAAAGAAATAGTAATACCGAAAATAAAGTCGTTCACAAAAATGTTAAGGTATCCGTAATGAATGCTATTTCCAAATGTGAACCTCCCTAAGTCAAACAATTTGCCAAACCAAATTAAAGGTTTCTTTGCTGTCATTTAGGAAAATAATTAGCTTCCCTTGTTCCCTTTCGAATACAAAAGTAATGCATTATAATGTTCCAAAGAAATTTGCCACACGTTTTTATTAAAAAATGACCCAAAGAAAAGTAGTACCTAAAATAAAGACGTCCACAAAAATGGTAAGGTATCCGTAATGAATCTTATTTCCACATGTGAACCTCCTTAAGTCCATCAATTGGCTTACAATAATTAAAGGATTTTTTACTGTCATTCAATCTACAAATTCAAGTGAACAATTCGCTTTTCTTGTCCCCTTTCGAATGCAAAAATAATGTTTTGTAATACTCAGAAGAAATTTGCCACACGTTTTTATTAAAGAATATCCCAAAGAAAAGTAATACCTAAAATAAAATCGTCCACAAAATTGCAAAGGTATCCGTAATGAATGCTATTTCAACATGTGAACCTCCTTAAGTCAATCAATTGATCAACCAAAGTTAAAGATTTCTTTGCTGTCATTTAGGAAAATTGTTAGCTTTCCTTGTCCCTATTTGAATACAAAAATAGTACATTAAAATATAAAAAAGAAATTTGCCACACGTATTTATTAAAGAATGACCCAAGAAATAGTAATACCTAAAATAAACAAGTCCACCAAAATGCAATGGTCTCCGTACAGAATACTATTGTCACATGTGAACCTGCCTAAGTCCGTCAATTGACCAAACAAAATAAAGGTTTTTTGCTGTCATTCAGGAAAATGATTAGCTTTCCTCGTTCCTATTTGAATACAAAAATAGTAATTAATAATAATAAAAACTGCCACATGTTTTAATTTAAGAAGAAATAGTAATAAAGTGGTTCACGAAAATTATAAGGAAGAAAAAAATTTGCCACGCGTCATCATTACTGGATGACCCAAAGAAAAGTAATACCTAAAATAAAGTCATCCACAAAAATGCTAAGGTCTCCGTTTTGAATGCTATATCCACATGTGAACCTCCCTAAGTCAATGAATAGCCAAGCTAAATTAAACGTTTCTTTGTTCCCCCTTTTGAATTTAGCTACAAAAGTATTGAATTATAATTATAATAATATTTTAAGCGATTTATATTTTAATATACATTAATTTTTATGAGACAGTA